TTAAGGGATTTTTGGATTTTTGATAAGTGTAACCCCCTTAATGAATATTCATGAATATGATGATTGTGATCACTAGTCCTGAAAAATCTGTCTCAAATTTGGTGGAGATTGGTGAGCAAAAAAGGGTTAAAATTAAGGTTTGTGGCCGATTTTATTAATAGAATTGTTTAATGTGACTATTAACTTTATTTAGTTAGAATTAATGACAATGATCCCAAGGTGGGTGAAAACACCCACTGTGGGCGGGATAGCCCAACTTGAGCAAAAACACCTAATGTGGGCATAATAGCCCACAGTGGGCTCATATATAATTCAACATGTATATAAAGAACTCAAATCTGACCTACTGTAAAAGTAACTTTTGTAACAAGTTAATTGGTTTCAACTAAATAAACTAAATAAAATAACTTCTAACAAGTTAATTAGTTTTAAACAAACTTTTATCTTCTTTACAGAAAATTATTCACTAATACCAAAATTAATTCATTGATTACCTTTTCATTCTGATCCACATAAACTAAAAATAATTGTTATCACCCATTAAAATATGCTCAACAAAGATAATAAATAAATAGCTTTTATGTTTTCCTCAAGTGAAATAATTAATTTTGTTACAAATATTGTGTTTTATGCCCATAATCCCAAGCTGGCTTTAAAGTTGTGTTTGACTATCAAAGTTGAAATTTTTAATGGCTGTGATTTTTTATTCAAAAAAGTTGTTTTTGCCCGCCGATCCTAGCTAATTTTCACTGGTTTATTCACGGATCAGCAATTAAAAAAAAATTTTTTTTACGGGATATTTTTGCTATAATGAAAGACTCCTCCTCTATTGCTTTGAAAACCATACTGCCTTTTTCTGATAATAGAACTAAACAGAGGAACTCAGATCTTGAGGATGAAATTCCTCTAATTGACAATGAAATGAGTTTAATTGAAGTTGTTTATTTATCTAAATTAATCTTATATTAATATGTATAGATAGATTGCCTAAAATTCGATAAAGCAAGCAATGAACTTTTTACTTATAATATTATATATGAATAATTTCATATATAGGATTCCTCCTCACTTTCATCAAGAAATAGAAGACAATTTGGCTCTTCTGGAAACAATACTTATTCTTTTATTGGAGGCAAGAATGCACAAAAAGCACGAACAATTTCTTTTCATGCTTCTGGTATTTACACAATATATATTTATTTATTTCTAATTGATATAGGATTTATTCTAATAATCTTAACCCTTAAAGATAAACTAAAAAATAAATATCCTCCAAATGTTATTTGTAACCAAAAATATAATTTACTTGCATTCTTTCCACTTATTTTTTATCAACAAGTAAGATTTTTATTAATTTTCAAAAGTTAACTTAATTTTTTAAAATTAAAACACAATAGTTCTATGTTTTTATAAATTTATATTTTCTCCTTGTGGCATTATCTCAATTTGTTCCCTCTTTGAGAATTGGTAAAATTTTATTTAAAATTGTAATTATATGATATATGCATTATAATTGACACAAAATTTTTAATTACAGGATATCTTATCACATACTTTGGTCCTTTATGCTTTGTAATTTTAATTACAATGGGCAAAGAAGCATATGATGATTGGATAAGATATAAAAGAGATTGTGAAAACAATTCACAAAAATATGAGATATTAACAAGAGATGGCATTAAAATAGTACCTAGTTCCAAGATAAAAGTTGGTGACTTGGTTGTTGTTCATAAAGATCAAAGAGTAAATTCAAATATAATTATTATTATTTTTGTAATGTTGAATATTTGTGCTCTTTTTGATAATATTTATATTATTTGATTTTAGGTTCCTGCTGATTTATTATTGTTAAGAACAACAGAGACAAATGGTGCTTGTTTTATTAGAACTGATCAATTAGATGGTGAAATTGATTGGAAATTAAGGCATTTATTATTTATAGTTGAACTTTTTAAAGGAGTTATATTGATATACTTAATATGTTAATTTTAATCTTAGAATTGCAGTACCTTTTTGTCAAAAATTGCCATCAGATAATAGTCTTTTACAAATTGATGCTGATATTTATGGTAGGTTTGGTAGTTTTAATAATATGATTTATAGAGAAATTAATAAAGCAAATTTATTTTTATTTTATAGCTGATATTCCTCAAAAAGATATTCATAAATTTGTTGGTAATTTTTTAAAACAAGGCATGAACAATGTGGTATGTTTTTCATTCTCTGATATTTTTTATTATGCATACTATTAATAAATATGATAAAGCTAGACATCACAAGTCGAAGCCTTAAGTGTTGAGAATACTTTATGGATGAATACAGTGTTGGCATCAGGTACTGCTATTGGATTTGTAATATATACAGGAAAAGATACTAGAGCTGTCATGAACACAAGTCATCCAAAGACTAAAATTGGTTTATTAGATCAAGAAATTAATCAACTATCCAAGGTTAGTTAATTCATTGATGTTTAATTAGTTTTGTAGGAATTAATAAGTAATCCAAATTGTAATTTAGATCCTTTTTCTTGTGACTTTGTTGTTATCTTTTATGCTTATTGCATTGAACAATTTTCAAGGTCTCTGGTACATTTATTTATTTCGATTTTTGATTCTTTTTTCTTCTATAATTCCTATAGGGTAAGTTTTTTATTCAATTAATTTCCTTTATAATAACCATAGATTTAGTATTGACACTTGTTACAATGATTGTAGTCTTCGTGTCAATTTAGATATGGGTAAAAGTGTTTATGCACATCAAATAATGCATGATGATGAAATACCATTTACAATAGTTAGAACCAGCACAATACCTGAAGAATTTGGTAGAATTAATTATCTTTTATCAGACAAAACTGGAACCTTGACTAAAAATGGTATTAAAATGTTTATTTACAATCATTGAATTTTTTGTAGTACTAATATTATTTGTTGATTGATTGTTAATAGATATGGAATTGAAAAAACTTCATATGGGTACTATATCATATAATTCAGATACAATGGATGAAATTTCTTTGCAATTAAAAATTGCACTTGGACAACAAGGCAAATTATATTTTATACTAATGGAATAATTTGAATAATTTGATTGGTTTGGCTCAAGTGATATTATTATATACTATGAATAGATAAAACACAGTCAAGAGGAGCAACTCATGCTTCTGTATCACTTCAAACAACAATTTTAGTTGGGAAAAGTAAAAGAGATATGACATTTAGAGTTAAAGATATTATTCTTGCACTTGCTTTATGTCATAATGTAAAGAAAATATATTTATAGACATAACTTTCTTTGAAAAAGTGTCCAATAATAATAACATTTATATTACTTTTCAAAGGTCACACCTGTAGTTGATGCTGATAATCTAGTCACTTATCAGGCTTCATCACCTGATGAAGTTGCAATTGTTAAATGGACTGAAAGCATTGGTTTAGCTTTGATTTTTCGTGACATTAATGAAATGCATCTTCGTACACCTCATGGAAACATTCTTGAATTCAAGATTCTTCAAATATTCCCATTCACCAGTGAAAACAAACGGATGGGAATTATTGTTCAAGATAAACAAAATGAAGAAATTATATTTTATGAAAAAGGTGCAGATGTAGTAATGAGCAATATTGTTCAATATAATGATTGGTTGGATGAAGAATGTGGAAACTTTGCAAGAGAAGGTCTAAGAACTTTAGTTATAGCATGTAAAAAGATATCAGAAGATGTTTATAATAATTTTCAAGAAAGGTATTGTTATTATAAAAATTTTCCATTTATAAAATTTTAAGTTTAAAGTAACATACAATGATTAATTATTACTATTGATTAGGTTTCATGAAGCTAAGATAAGTTTGATGAACTGTAAAGCTCAGCAAGAAAAAATTATTTCATCAATTCTAGAGCATGACTTGGAACTTTTGGGATTGACTGGTGTTGAAGACAAACTTCAAGATGGTGTTAAAACTACATTAGAATTACTTCGAAATGCAGGTCTTAAAATCTGGATGTTAACAGGTTAATGAACATTCTCATAATAATTTTAAATGATTATAAATTTATTTTATAGTGATTATTATTTTCATTTGTTATTATTATAGGAGATAAAATAGAGACGGCTACTTGCATAGGAATATCTTCAAAATTGATTTCAAGGAATCAGATTATTCATCAAATAGCAAAATGTAATATTTTAAAATTCATTTTATATAATATTAAATTGACATTTATTTTAATTTGGCTTTTAATTAGTAAGGTCACCAGATGAAGCATTAGAGGAATTAAATCATTTGCAAAGTAAAGGAGATTGTTGTTTGGTAATTGATGGAGAATCACTTCAGGTAATTAATTAGTCAATTAATTATTTAATTATTTCTGTTTTTTTTTTTATATATTAAAATTGCTATGTTATATATAGCTTTACATTGATTACTATAACAATGAATTTATTAAACTGGCAATCAGATTGCCAGTTGTTGTTGCTTGTAGATGCTCACCTACTCAAAAAGTAAATTAAATTAAATTAATTATTTGATAATTCAATCAAATTGCTTTAACTTACTTATAATACTTTTTATCAATTAATGAATAGGCAGACATTACTAGGCTCATTAAAAAATTTACTAATAAGAGAGTTTGTTGCATAGGTGATGGTGGTAATGATGTTAGCATGATCCAAGCAGCTGACCTTGGTGAGTTGGTTTTTAATTGCAGTTAAAATTTTGGTAATTGATATATATCAGATTATATTAAAAAACTTTTAGGTGTTGGCATTGTAGGAAAAGAAGGAAAACAAGCTTCTTTAGCAGCTGATGTTTCAATAACTCAATTTAGCTATTTAACAAAATTATTACGTAAGTAAAAGAAAATGTAGGTTTTTGCTATACTATACCTTTCTAAAATTGTTAAAATTGGGGGTTTTCAATAGTTTGGCATGGAAGAAATAGTTATAAATGCTCAGCAAAACTTTCTCAATTTGTTATTCACCGAGGTCTTATAATATCAGTTATGCAAGCAGTATTTTCTTCTATTTTTTACTATGCACCAATTGCTTTATATCAAGTAAGTATCTTTTTTAAATTATTTTATTTATAAAATTAATTAACGTTTGGTAAATCTTATAGGGTGTATTAATGGTTGGATACTCTACTATTTATACAATGGCACCAGTTTTTTCATTAGTATTAGATAAAGATGTGAGTGAAGACATAGCATTACAATTTCCAGAATTGTATAAAGACTTAACAAAGGTACATAGCAAAAATAATTTTTTTAGTAATTGTTCTTGCGAAATCTGTTACACATGTTTTTGATAATATAAGTAAACAAGGTCTAAAATTCAGCTAATCCAAGGATTGATGTAAGGTTCAACCTCACCATTGATCTCTAGGTTAAACCTCTTACTGTGACCATGGCCCCAATTAAAATAAAGATGCAAAATGTTGGGTCATAACCATCAAACCACCTAGACTTCCCTGCTAAAAGGTTGAACCTCATGTTTTAAGAACATTGATCCTTGGATTGGGAGCAAAAATTTTCAAAAAATTCTTGGGGCCTTATATCTGGTTTTTTTGCTAGGAACAATATTAATGACTTAAAAATTAATATTTTTTATAAATTATTTGTTGTTACAGGGGAGATCACTTTCTTTAAAAACTTTCTTTCAGTGGGTGATGATCAGTGTATATCAAGGTAGTACAATGCATCTTTAAACTTTATATTCTCATTGATAATCACCTTAATATCATACAGGTGGTGCCATAATGATTATGTCAATGTTCCTTTTTGGAGATGAATTTGTCAATATTGTCTCAATCTCTTTTACTGCACTCATTCTCAATGAACTTTTAATGGTTGCTTTGGAGATTAATACATGGTATCTTTAAAAAAAAATTTTTTCTTTTTATATTTAAAAAAACAACCATTAACAATTAATTACATTTTGAAAAGGCATAAACTTATGATTTTATCAGAAATAATCACATTGGTTATATATATTATTTCAATGATATTTCTACCTACCTATTTCGGTTTGTATTTTTTCAAATTTACTATTTTTCTATTTGTGGTAAAGTCAATTTATTTATTAAATTATTTATCTATTTTATAAAGATTTAAAATTTATCTTAACTGGAACATTTGTGTGGAAAGTTACAGTGATAACTGCTATAAGCAGCATTCCATTATATGTAATCAAATTTTTGAAAAAAAAATATGCACCCTCAAATTATTCCAAATTAATATAATATCACAATTTATCATCAGCAGGTTCAAAAATAAAATAAAAATGATTGATAATAATTGTGTTTATAATAATGGCATTAATAGTGATTTTAATCATGATTTTTATAGCTTTTTTAAAAAAGGATTGGTTATACACACTACCCAGACAAAAGTTTGTGAATGATGTTTTTTGTTAATTACGCAAAATGCTACATAATAACAACACA